GCCCCCAGAGTTCAACACTCATCCATGCCACCATATGAACCAGACAAATAATCTGCACAGTCCTCACTCTGAACAAAATTCCCACTGCAATGACCCGCCCCAGGCAACCAAGGAGCTCCAAGCACGTGGAGCTGTACCCAATGATTGCCCATAGACCCAGCTACACCCTGCAGTCTCTTGTGCAGCCAACAAATCATCAGTCTCAGCACACAAGGCCCCGCAGTCACTGGGTACAGAGGTTCTGCTCTGCCCTTCCAGCCTGTTTCGTCAACATAGAGGGAGATGGTCCCTGAGCCAGCTCTGCCTAGGCGGCTCAAGCCCCAGAGGCTGTGGTATATTTGGAGGCTGGGGGCACTTCACAGTCCTACATGGGTGCTCAGCCACCTGTCAATCCTTCCAGCCAGGCTCAAAGTCAGTGGGGACTGCGGATTTCTCCCTCCACTAGAATATCTAGATCACATGCATATACAAGAGCCATTTGTTGAATGTTGCCCTCTCCCTGCCACTGTTGCCAATACTGCCGAGAAGATGCTGACCTGTCTTAGCCAATTTCTGTACACACACACAAAAGCTTCTGCAGCTACTGCCCAGGCCCAAAATGGTGCCCACTGTTTCTTAGCTGGGCAGCAGGCACTGTTTCGGAGAGGATGGGGTGAGATAAATGTGCCCCCTTTTACTTCCACTGCGTCTGTGGACAGCTGCTAGTAACCAGTAGTCCCTAGGGCTCCAGTCTGGACTCAGACCACACTCTCTCTTTGACTGTAACACCAATTGGCTATATTGCTGCAGTCTGGTCTCACCTCCATCTCCAAGCTGCCACCTGCTCTGGCTCTCGGCTGCTGCAGTTGTGTGTTTTGTCCATGTTTGTGCTGTGCATCCACACCTTCCGCACAGGACCACAGTGTTCTTCTTCCTCTTGCAGAATTTCCAGTGACGTTTGCTTTCTAATTCTCCCCTCCCTGAGAGTGCACTTCCTACTTTTTTTTTTTTTTTTTACTATTCATCCTTAGCCTAGCACCTTACATTGTTCCCTATTCCATCAGATTCAATGTTTATAGCCCATGTCTCTTCTGTTGAGGAACGGGTTTTTTTTTTAAATTCATACTATTTGTTGAACTATTTTACTTAGTGTAGGATTAACTTTATGACCATTGAGTAAAGAAAGTAGAACTTTGTGGCCAGCGCCGCGGCTCACTAGGCTAATCCTCCACCTAGCGGCGCCTGCACACCGGGTTCTAGTCCCGGTTGGGGCGCCGGATTCTGTCCCGGTTGCCCCTCTTCCAGGCCAGCTCTCTGCTGTGGCCAGGGAGTGCAGTGGAGGATGGCCCAGGTGCTTGGGCCCTGCACCCCATGGGAGACCAGGAAAAGCACCTGGCTCCTGGCTCCTGCCATCGGATCAGCGCGGTGCGCCGGCCGCGGCGGCCATTGGAGGGTGAACCAACAGCAAAGGAAGACCTTTCTCTCTGTCTCTCTCTCTCACTGTCCACTCTGCCTGTCAAAAAAAAAAAAAGTAGAACTTTGTAAAAATTAAGAGTGGGAATGGAAGAGGGAGCAGGAAGAAGGGTTGGAGCATGGGTAGAAAGGAGGGTAGGTTAGAAAGTATCATTATGTTCCTAAATCTGTATATATGAAATATATGAAACTTGTATAATGTAAGTAAAATTTTAAAAAAGCAGGATCCAAAAAATTATGTTTATGAAAATGTTTACTCCAGAAAGCTGCTCACTTAAAATTGCAAACTCTGTCATCAAAGAAAATGTGAAATTAATTTGTTTTACTGAATTTTTGTAACTTTAATTCTATGTAAATGATTTGAGTTCACTTGTTAAAAAAGATATTTCTGTTAAAGGTGGTAGAATTCTATTTTAACGGTGATTTTCCTCAATATCTTGAATGTTTCATTTCATCATGGCATATAGTTTTGCTGGTGGGACATCTGTTGCCATTCTAATTCACTTTTTTTAGGGCAATATGTCTTCTTTTCTTTTTGGATTGGAAGAATTTTAAATTTCTTGATGTCCTGAAGTTTTGTTGGTATTTGTTTAGGTGTAGGCTTGCTTTATTCATCTTAAGACTAGGTCTAAATCTTTAAGTTAAAGATTCATGTTCTGCTTCTATTCTCAAAGTTCTTAGCCATTGTCTCATGAATAATCCCTCTGACCTCATCTTGCCTTTCTGGAACTGATGTTGGAATAATTCTGGGAGTTCTTAGAATTTACAGCTCTTTACTTCTCTGTGCTGTATTTCAGGTGGTTTCTTTGGATGTTCTCCACATCCCTAACCTTAATCTTCTCTTTAACTGTACCTGATCCAGTATTTAAAATGCTTCTATCATTTTTTTTAAATTTCAAAGACTGTATTTTTCAACTATAGGATTTTTACTTGTCTATTTTTTTTGATTTCCTATACTTTTTTATGAGATGATTCCTTCTTTCATCTATTTGAACATTTTAAACTACATTTTTTAAAATGCCTTTTAGGTCATGCTTCCTCTAAATATTTAGGTGTAAATTTTACATTTCTTTGGTTTAGACTTCCTCCTCTTTGAAATTCTTCATAGGTTCTAATTTTTAAAAAGATTTAGTTATTCATTTAAAGGATGAATGACAGAGAGAGAGGAAGCAAAATATCTTCTGTCTAGTGATTTACTCACCAGTGACCGCAACAACCAGATTTGGGTCAGGCCAAAGTTAGAATCCAGCAGGACAAAGCCAGAATCCAAGAACATTAGCCTCATCTCCCACGTGGGTGCCAGGGGCCCAAGTATTTGGCTATCTTCTGATGCCTTCCCAGGCAAGAAGCTGGATCAGATGTCAAGCATCCAGGACTCAAGCCAGCAATTAGACATGGAATGAGAACATCGCAGGTGGTAGCTTAGCCCACTGTGTCAAAATGCCCGCCCCTCTTCATGTGTTTTTAAATTTCTATTCCTATGGCCAGTGCTGTGGTATGGTGGGTGATGCTACTGCCTGCAGTGCTGGCATCCCATATGGGCAGTGGTTCGAGTCCCAACTACTCCACTTCAGATCCAGTTCTCTGCTATAGCCTGGGAAAGCAGAAGATTGCCCAAGCACCTGGTCCCCTACACCCGAGTGGGAGACCCAGAAGAAGCTCCTGGCTCCTGGCTTCAGATCAGCGCAGCTCCAGCCATTGTGGCCATCTGGGGAGGGAACCAGCGGATGGAATACCTCTCTCTCTCTCTCTCTCTCTGCCTCTGCCTCTGCCTCTCTGTAACTCTGTCTGTCAAATAAATAAATCTTTTTAAAAAATTTATATCTGTGATGTTGTCTTCAGTTCAAAATTATTCTCTGGAAGGCCATCACATACCATTTGTTATTAAAAAAAAAAACTCTATAAGATATTCTATGCTTAACTCATGTAAGTGTCATTAGGGTCAATAGTTCTGAGTCTTTTATTTTACACTTGGAATCCTATACCATATGAGCAGTGTAATTTCAAACCTCTGTGTCCATCTTGAGTGCATCTTCAAGCTCTAATTTCTAGAAGTTGACTTTGTAAATAGCCACAGCCTAGAGTAGGCATTTTTTCTGTTTATAAGACCTTCACTGTCTGATGCTGATTTTTTTTAATTCTTTTAACTTTTATTTAATGAATATGAATTTCCAAAGTACAGCTTATGGATTACAATGGCTTCCCCCCCATAACATCCCTCCCACCCGCAACCCTCCCCTTTCCCACTCCCTCTCCCCTGCCATTCACATCAAGATTCATTTTCGATTCTCTTTATATACAGAAGATCAGTTTAGCATACATCAAGTAAAGATTTCAACAGTTTGCTCCCACACAGAAACATAAAGTGAAAAGTACTGTTTGAGTACTCGTTATAGCATTAAATCTCAATGTACAGCACACTAAGGACAAAGATCCTACATGAGGAGTAAGTGCACAGTGACTCCTGTTGTTGACTTAACAAATTGACACTCTTGTTTATGGCATCAGTAATCACCCTAGGCTCTTGTCATGAGCTGCCAAAGCTATGGAAGCCCCCTGAATTCACTGACTCTGATCATTTTTAGACAAGGCCATGGTCAAAGTGGAAGTTCTCTCCTCCCTTCAGAGAAAGGTACCTCCTTCTTTGATGGCCTGTTCTTTCCACTGGGATCTCACTCGTGGAGATCTTTCATTTAGGTTTTTTTTGTTTTGTTTTGTTTTGTTTTGTTTTGCCAGAGTGTCTTGGCTTTCCATGCCTGAAATACTCTCATGGGCATTTCGGCTGGATCCGCATGCCTTAAGGGCTGATTCTGAGGTCAGAGTGCTGTTTAGGACATTTGCCATTCTATGGGTCTGCTGTGTATCTCACTTCCCATGTTGGATTGTTCTCTCCCTTTTTGATTCTATCAGCTAGTATTTGCAGACACTATTCTTGTTTATGTGATCCCTTTGGTTCTTAGTCCTATCATTATAATCAATTGTGAACAGAAATTGATCACTGGGACTAGTGAGATGGCATTGGTACATGCCACCTTGATGGGATTGAATTGGAATCCCCTGGTATGTTTCTAACTCTACCGTTTGAGGTAAGTCAGCTTGAGCATGTCCCGAATTGCACATCTCTTCCCTCTCTTATTCCCACTCTTATATTTAACAGCGATCACTTTTCAGTTAACTTTCAGCACTTAAGAAGAATTGTGCATTGATTACAGTATTCAACCAAAAGTATAAGTAGAACAAACAAACAAAAAATACTAAGAGGGATAACATATCAAGTTGCTCATCAACAGTCAGGGTGAGGGCTGATCAAGTCACCGTTTCTCATAGTGTTCATTTCACTTTAACAGGTTTCCTTTTTGGTGCTCACTTAGTTGTCACCTATCAAGGAGAACAAGTAGTATTTGTCCCTTTGGGATTGGCTTATTTCACTCAGCTGATTTTCCAGCCCCTTGTCCATTAGTAGAGCAGACTCAGGGCTCCAAACTTCTTCCAAACAGATCTTCAAATTCTATGCCATAAGGCATGTGAATGAAACAGACTCCACTCACCATCACTTTCTCCACATTATGGCATCAGCTTCTCCACGACCCTGAAGTTGTCCTCTCCTCTTGACACATGGAAATTTCCATTTCTTTCATCTGAGTTCAGTCATGCAGTAGCAATCTCTGACACCAAAATAGTTCTTCAGGCTAAAAATGTCTGCGGGAAAATGTTATAACTATGATGATGTCAGAGACCACAGAAAATACCTTTACAAAATCAAGTTTTAACCTCCAACATTGGCACTGGATTCTGTTGGTGTGACAAGTAAGAGGCATAGCAAATCTGTGATGGGTAGATTTATTGTGAAAGAGTTGTAGTCAAATGAGCATAATCACTGAAATGGTATTGTTGAAGTGCTGAAGTTGATACTGTCTCACTTTGTATTTCCAAGTTTTCTATAAAACTAGTACTTAAATAGCCATCTGTACTTTTGAAAAGGTCCTGTTTGAATCACATCATAAGCAATTGAAAGGCAACCAGCCAAAATGGACATGCTGGGAAAAAAGAAAGTATAAAACATTACCAGTGCCAGCACAGCAGGGCTTGGCATCAAGGACATTTTAGAACATTTCCAGAATATCATAATAGGGCACTTTCTGTCCCCCACTTTTGTTGGTGAGAATGACTTTAATCACACTATTATCTGTGCTGGGCAATCTCCTATTAGTAAGAATTAGCATATGAAGAACTCTACATGGATGACATACAGGAAGAGCCATGACACATTTCAGCTGCAATAAATTTGGTGCTTCCTGTTTTATTCATGTTGCTACTCAACAAGCCAGAACAAATGTACTCACATAGAATTGAAACCAAAAAACTTCTCCTGACTAAATTTTATATCAACATTCTATCCACATATTTTGAATAAGATATTTTAAAAGCAATCTGTTAGAAATTCTCTGGTGCAAAATATTTTCAATATTTTTCCCATCCTTTGAAAACATTAAACAGCATGGTTAAAAGCAATATTCCCCTTCAGAGAAAATGCTTATTTTGATTGCCTTTCATTTCTACCATCAAAGTTCTCCAGCACTGTGTTCCTCTGACTAACTGGAGTAGGGAGGATGTACAGTATTATTAGAAATACAGATTCCTAGGCATTATCTCCTGGAAGTCTGATTTCCTTCATTTGTTTTGGGGCTCAGCATGAAGCATTGTGCACTTTAATAAACTCTACCTGCACATGACTCTTGTGCACACTGAACTTTGAGAACCATTGGCACAGAGACTGGCAGAAAGGGCACAGACACTGGTACACCGAGAGGAGTGTTCAGAGCACTCAGATTTATGTAGAAGTTTGTCCTTCCTTTGAGTACTTCAACATGTGCATTTATGAAGAACAACTGAGGGTAACAATTCAGTTTCACCCAAACTATACATAACAAAGGCAGGTAGAAGTAAAATCTATCACCCCACAATTTGAAATTCACAGACTAGATCCACAGAATTTATTTTAGAAAAGACCAAGAATATGGGTAGTTTTTCAAAGAGAAATGGAAATGCAGAGGTAGTTGAAATGCAAATGAACTTAAAGTTCTAGGATCATTAAGGGATTTTTATTATAAAGTAGTCCAAATATATCTGATGAGATTGCCTATGGTTTTTTCATGAATTAGGTAAGAAATACTTAAATTATTAGAATTTGTAAATCAAGTAATCTAACTATTAGAATATCATCATTATGACTTTGATATAACTTGTCCCATCATAAATTTTGTGTGGGGGCAAGCATTTGATCCGATGTCGATTTGCACCCACATCCAGTGCTGGAGTACTTAGGTTGGGGTCCAGATCCTAGCTTCCTGTTAATGCCCATGCTGGAAGGCAGCAGGTGATGGGTCAAGTAGTTGACTCTCTGACATCCATATGGGAGACTCCATTTGAGTTCCCCAGCTTCCGGTTTTAGCCTGGCCCAGCTCAGACTGTCATTGGCATTTCAGGAGTGAATTGGTGGACGGGAGATCTACCTTTCTCTCTCTCTCTCTCTGCCTTGGAAATCAAATTAAGTAAGTAAATAAGTAGCATATTTCACAGTATGGCCAGAGATTATTAACTGCAATGCTACTATCTAGATTGTCTCAGGCTGAAATAGTAAAGGTGGCCTATTTTTCTGTCTCTCATTGCATGTGAAAATATTTTAGCCTTTGAATTTTGGTTTTTAAAAAAATGACTTGAGTCTATATGGAAAAGTCTAAATGAAAAAGGATATATATATATATATATATATATATCCTATGAAGGTTCAGAACTTTGTGCTCCAATCTTTAGTAAATGTGATAGTCTAAGAAGATTGTCAGTGTTTACGTTAGCAATAAAATATGTTGGCTAAGTTTTGAAAGTCCAAGAGCAGAGGTGGGACTCCAAAACATGTCTGGAACCAGAGGGTCCAACAATGTCATCAGGAATCTGATTTTCTCCCATGCTTCACACTGCTTCTCTCTGCGATAGTTCCTTTGCCAGGCAGTCTCTTGTCCTGGGGCAGCTCTGGTGAAAATCTGTGGCTTCTTTCTGCTAATGTAGCAGCATAGTCCAACAGAGAGACTGCCTCTCCCCCAAAGAGGGCCAATAAAGACCCCAAGGTACATTTTCATTCATCTAGTTTCCATGGAATGCCTGCCTCTCTCAATGAATGGCAGGAGCTAGCATTGGGATGGAGGACTCTGAATTCACCTGGGATTACGAGGTAAATGCGCCCAAGACAGGGTCTGGGAAGGTGGAGTAGCATAGGCCATAAGGTACAATCGAGATGCTTTTTGGAATGGGCCTCAATATGGGGGGGAGGGAGGGAAACAAGCTAAAACACTCCCAGTTTTTACACCATGTCATGTAATCCCCAAGCCATGCAAACAAACCCACTGGAGGACATTCCAGTTTGGTAAAGTTTGAGAAGCATCTGCAGATGTGTTCATTTGTAAGTGTCTCTCAGTCCCTAAGCAAAAGGACCACAGTCCATCCAAAGGACAAGTGTGCAGATGCACCTATCAATGCAGCTCACTAACCCAGAGAGATCTGCTGCTGACAGTAACAGGAGGTGACCTCAGGTTAGGGACCCTGATAAATACCAATTTTGACTCCCTCATTTCTCAAGGATTTCTTTTTGTCTAATGGCTCCTTCTTTCTATTAAATGTTTCATTAATTTGTAAGCACATTCTACTACTGGAAGGGCTCCAGCTTGGGTTAATGTATGGGCTCATAGATTATTGAAGAAAGCTAACTTTTATCCTTCTGCATCATTAAAACACTTCTGAGTGAAAGTACCAGTTTGCTCAGAATATTAAAAAAAAAAAAAGAGGGGAGGGAGTGTGTTGTGAAGAAGTAAGTTAAGCCATGGCTTGAGGACCCACATCACATATGGGAGGTTTGCATCCCGACTGTTCCCCTTCTGATTCCAGCTCCCTGATAATGCATCTCTTCAAGATGGCAGATGATGTCCCAAGTGCTTGGGCTCCTGTCACATACATAGGAGACCTGAATGGAATCCCTAGCTTCTGACTTTGGCCTGGCTCAGCCTGGCTTTTGTAGCCATTTGGGGAGTGAGTCAATTGAGGGAAGAGCTCTCTGACTCTCTCTTTCCAACTCCCTTTTCTGCCTTACATGTAGATAAAAACAAATAAATTAAGATTAAAAAAGAGAGGAGGGGAATAAATCATTAAAGGGAAAAAATTTGGAACTCTTCACATTAGTACAATGAATTGATTATATTAGGATAAAGAGTATCCTGGAGTGTTAGTTTCTTTAAGGAGAAAAATACAAAGGGTCTTGAAAATTTCATGAACAAAGTATATTATGAAAAAATTACGCAAGGATTTGAACATTTTTCTGCAGACAAATAAACACCTTTTAATTCCATTTTCCTTGAACTTTTTTTAGTACTTTATACTTTCATGAGGGTTTCTATTCATGTATAGCTTGGCAAAGCAAAGAACAGATAATATGTTAATAAGAACTTGAATCCACAGGAAGTCTTGTTGAAACTTAGGTGGAGAAATGGACTCAAGTCCCTGAATGCTCAATGTAATCTGAATATTTCATATGCTTAATAATTACAGGTCAGCCTCAGATTGAGACGCAGTGGTTGTAATTACTGGAAGGTCCACTCAGTTCTGTTTTAATATATGCTCTTGAAATCTGAGTTTATTTCAACATAATGGAAAAATTTGTACATAGTGGGATTTTTTTAGTTGAATTGTATGATTGATTTCACCTGAGAAAATCCTAGAATAATGTGGAAAACCACTGGAGCAGGATGGCACTGGAATACACTAAATGCACACACACACACACACACACAACATTCACCTGCTACCTCAGCTCACATTTGTTTTATTAGCCACACTCATCCCCATCTGCAGTTACAACTTCCCATTGAATTTCAATAACCCTTCCTCCATTACTTCACGAAAACTCATATAAACTTACAACCCTGTCAACTCCACTTCCACAAGCAACCAAAGGTCTTCAAGATGAAATGTCATATATGTTGTACTAGTTGGGAACATCCTAGCCACCTAAAATGTGTGAATCAGTATTTCCATTTCTATTATGTTTCATTCTGCTCCTTTGTGAAATGTTATTGATGACTTGTTTTAAAAGATTTTATTTATTTACCTGAGAGGTAGTTATAGACAGAGAGAGGGAGAGGCAAAAAGAAAGGTCTTCCATCTGCTGGTTCACTTCCCAACTAGCCGCAACAGCCAGGGCTGGGCCAATCAGAAGCCAGGAGCTTCTTTCTGGTCTCACATGTGGGTGCAGGACCCAAGCACTTGAGTCATCTTCCACTGCTTTCCCAGGCCTACTATATTAGCAGAGAGCTGAATGGAAAGAGGGGCAGCTGGGATATGGACTGGCACCCATGTGGGATGCCGGTGCCACAGGCAGAGGCGAGGCTTAGCCTACGATGCCACAGCGTCAGCCCCATTGATGAAGTTTTTAGTGTTGCTCTCCTAACTCCAGTTTTCAGCTAAGCCCTGTGAGACTTTTTTGCTTCATTTTGCAGAGGGTGATTTTTAGGAATATATGTGACACTTTATAATAAAATTTGGTTTACTAAGTGTCACTAAGACTTTCAATAAAAGTTTCAACTGTTTAAATATTGTAAGTAATACTCATAGAATGTGTACCATATTCTAGATATTTCACATACATTAAGTAT